AGAACTCTGTCAACACGTGCAGTTTCTAGAAAAGCAAAAATTTAATACATCTTCTAAACTCTGAAAAGCCAATCCAGTTCAGAGGTGAGTTAAATAATAACAACCAAAGTGGGAGGAGGATTGTTTTTTCAGATCATTTGTAAGGTACATGTGAAGACTCGATACATTTACTGAGAAAGTAAAAGCATAGAAGAAAGTGCTCCTTTAAGGAAAAAAAAAAAAAACAAAACAATGTGAATTTTTACCAAAAACCTGTTCTTCATGATCTACAGTTCAAGTCCCATAGACAACGTGGCCTTTCCTTGTTGTGAAATCTTTTGTAATTGAAAAGTGTTCATGAAAACAAAGGGGACGAATGCATTGTGTTACAAAAAGAATGAGCTAAGAAAGAGATGAAGCCAAAATCCAGACAGCTGACCATACAGCACTCCCTTTAATATCAAGCTCTTCAGCAAGGGTAATCGTTTGGCCATCCCATTCACTCCTCACTATTTGCTTTCATTCATCCATAGCAAAAATACAAATGATGCAAGTGCTAACAGGGTACAAAACTGACCTACAGTTGTTGTGGGGTTTCTGTTCTTTTCTGCATTGTGTGGCTTTGCTAAGTTAATATAAATGTTTCTGAGAGTGTTAAGGGAAAAAAGATGCTGCTTGTTTAAACAATTTTAATGAAGGTCTAACCTTTTACATTAAACATCTGTTCCCTTCATTTACTTTCTGGCAGCAGTTCATATGTTTTTTGCAAAGGACACAGTTTAATGAACATGTACCAGATTATTCAAATGAATGGTTTTAATGAGTTCTTTGAATAGGTTTCTCTAAAAAGTAAGCATGAAATTACTTTCTCAGTTGGGATGCTTTAACATAATTTAAGAAAAACATACATAATCCCTTTCCAGCAGACACAGGCCTTAGTTGCTTTAACATTCCAATGCCTTTGAGTGCTAATAAACTAAAGTAGTTGTTTCATAGGAGTGATAAGTCAGTACAGTAAATTGATGTTTTAATATATTATTACTTCCTAAGAAACATTTTTTTCCTATAGGAAAGGGGAAAATAGTTTTCATTTTATCGGAATAGGACATCAGTCTGTTTCTAAATAATGGAAAGATATGGACAGGCCCGATACTACAGGCTTTCATTAAAAGGCTCCAGCAACAGACTTAATAATTAACTTATTAATACTCCTAAGAAGGAAATACATCCAAGTATCACTTGGATAAACTCAGGCAAAAGTAATTTGACTTTACCAAGTGATTTAACTTCAAAATGATTAAACTTAGTCCCTGACTTTATTTACTCTTTTTTTGTATTCCCTTATTGCAATATGAAGCGTTAATTTCATTCAAATATTTAGGATTGGGCACAGTTCACCATGTAGCCACCAGGAAGAAAAATATGCCAAAAGTCTAAATACATTTGCAGCTGCCTATAATAATGTCTGTCACTTTTGAACCAGCAGAGGGTTCTTTATATGATTGATATAACTGTTCAGAAGCCACTTCATGGTTTAACATTATTTAACTGCCCTGATTTTTCTCTGTTGATTTTGTACATATACAAATAACAGCACTGCAATGGAAATGCAACCTGAATGAGAGGTTTTAGAATTTTTAATCAGCAGTATTTTGCCTTCTTAGAATAAAATCTTCTTCCTGTGGAATAATGCAATAAGATGGGCCTTGGTCTTGGAAGTCTGATTAGTCAAGAGATAGTCCATTTAAGCAGGGTTGTAACAGTTTGCAGTCTTTTTCTGAGCATAAGACTGAGCCTCAAAAGACATTTTGTTTAAATTTTAAAAATTCCACTGTGATTTCTATGGCTTTGACTTAGTTTTACATACAGTCATTTCTAACTTTGTTCTAACCTCCTCTTTCACTTCTGGGTGAAACCACCACAGAAATGCAAGGAAAATGCAGAGGCTCATTCCCCATCTTTCACTCCTCCTGCCCGTGGAAATGTACTATGGCTGAAAGACATTGAATCTTAAGCAATCAGTTTGCTACCTTTGCATAACCTTGCATTATATTGTGATATACATATTTTCTTGTATCACTGATTACTTGATAGAACTATAGTCAAAATGTATCTTCTGAAGGCATATTAAATTGCTATTGTTTTTCATGACAAGTATCTTATCTCATGGTGTAATTCTTAACTACTGAAATACTTAACATTCATTAATATTAATAAATGCCTTTGTCACCTCTAACATCTAGGGTCTTTATCATTAATCAGATACACATCAAATGCTAATATGCATCTTTAAATACCTTCAGTGTATGAATTTAAAATATGATACAAAGTCCAGGCTTTATACATGCAAAGCCTGAGATTGCTGTGGATCATACTTATCTGACATGGTTTTATTTTTTTGTAGTTATTCACTGTTATCAGTGGCAGAATCAGTAATATCTACATCTTCTTTGTGCCATTAGATCTTGGACATAGATGTTGATGCCATTGTTAGCATAAGTATCAGTTTGGTTCCAGCTTTTCATATTACTGAAATAATCTGTCCTTTCACAGAACTCCTATGCCTACGGACTTCACACATTTTTTTGGAACCTGGTCAGTCCTGCTTTTGGTCTGGTTGCCAAGATTTGTGAGTGAATGACCTGATTGTAAGTATCCATACTTCTTCAGCATCAAAACCTCTTGGTATGAATGCCTACATTTTTTGCAGACTCACTTTCAAATTTTTCTTTTTAGGTAAAAATATTGAAGTAATGCTTACATTGTAGAAGTCTTCTATGATGCAGATTCCATTTTTCGCAAGCCTCAAGATGTTTTACAGTGCTGGGGAAATAAATCCTCAAAGGCAATACAAATCTTATTTCCTGAGGCAGCTACCTGAACAGGATAACAGAATTCAAGCTTTTCCACTTGAATTCTGTAAAAAAGGGCCTCTTCCTCACAGTTTTCCACCCCTTGTCACTTCCGAGTTTATAAGCACCACCTGCTTTTCAATGTTATTTGCAAGATACTGATCTTAACAGTTGCAGTTCTTGCATGAGTTTCAGTGACTTAACAAGAAGGCATCCTCTGTAGAGAATACACCTCTTTTTTAACTTCTGACTGGCCAGAGAAAAACATTGATTTTTAACTAGAGCTCTAATTAAATACATTTCACGTGCAGCACTGCTGGCAAAAAAATTACAAGGAAGAGGAAAGTAACACATCCTTGACTTTTCCACCCACCTCCCACTCTTTTTACTGAGCCTTTGCTTACTTTTCATATCAGAAATTATAAATTTTCACTTGTAGGAACACCTAGCAAAAAGAGATGTACTTGGAAATAATTTTTATGAAGTATATCAGTGAAATAGTACTACTAATGCTCAGATACTAAGCTGCACATGAATTCAAAGCATTTGCAGGTAGAGTAGTAGCAAATTTTGCAAAGAAACCCTAACAAAGTTATATTTAATTGGTGTAACAACAGTTCTGAGACTGGAAGCAAGGAGTTCTTCTACTTTCTTGGTAATTATTGTTTAAATAAAGGTCTGCAATCCTGTCAAGTGAAAATGCCATTTAAGTCCAAAAAATTATTCTCACTCAGTAAGAAGCACTTCATATCAATAACATTAAAAAAGAACCAATTTGGTCCTACAAGAATGATCATGTCTGTAATACTGTATGTACTGCTTCATAGGAAAATAAGTTTATTTTGCTATTATTAAAAACCAACTAAGATCAACCAAAAAGGTCTCCACCTTAAAATCATTTGAGTATGCCACTTAGCAGCAGTCTATGACTATTTTATATGGTCTTTAAAGTGCTCAATAATCCCATAATGTTTTAACCTTTATTTTATTAGTAGCTGCTACTTTTTGTGTTATGTGTGTAGAGCCAATGAAAAGATTTTTCATGAATCACATGAATTTTTATTTTATTGTTCACATAAAAAAGCTTTCTAATATCTTTTAATAGCAGAATTTTGTGTGTGAATTATATCACAGTTGGCATGCATTACTCTAGTTTCTGGACCAGAAAACCATGTTTAAATCACTCTGGGCATTAAAGTTAAATGGGTAAATGACTGACTACATGGACTGGCGCGGTTATCCTGCAGCAAGTTAGAAGGTGGTAGAACACAGAGTTGTGACATCAAGTTTTAGTGTATCTTTGATTGAGAAGTGGGGTAAAAATTATTCAAAGGGGATTTTTTATTTATTTATGTGTTGGGTTTTTTTTAACCTGATAACTGAACAAGAAGTGAGGAATTACAACGTGGAAGGTATAAAATATTCCATCAGCAACAAAAACCTGCAGGGACATTTTAGTTTTCATGCAGAAGAGGTAAAGCGTGGTGAAAGACTTTTTAGCCACAAAAATGGATGGAGTTACCCTAATTAAGATTACTGATAACCTTTTTGATATCCTGTACTTCGCTGAAGCATTTTTTAAGCTTCAAAAAATCCTAGCTTCTCCCCAGGTAGTTCAAAGAAATCACAGACATTTCTCAGACAAAGATCTGGTGACAAATAAAGGTTGCAATTTGTTCAGGCCTGTCATGTTATGCCAGTGAAAGCCAATGGGTGAAGTGACAGCAGGTTTCTCAGTTGAAAGGGAGTCAATAATGTTCTACAAATAAGAAGCACTTGCTTCAGAAAGTTTTAGAGTGTTTGTAAATAGTTTCATTTGGGAATTTTTCTCTCAGGCCCTAATATCTTGTTTTTCTCCCCCCTCCCCCCCCAAAAAAGCACCAACCAAGCCCAATTGCACACTAACTAACCTGACAGATTGGCACATAGCACCAGTAAGCAACCATTAAAATGATCCAGACCAATAACATCATGGAATAAGGAAATCTATAGAACACTTAGTAACATAGCAATCCAGATTGTCCACAGGACATCCACAGGAGCTGTGGCTGGTGCTGCCCATCGCTGGCAGGGCACAGGAGGGGGGCAGTGTGAGGCTGAGGAAACCGCCCTGCAGCCCTGGGGCCCATCTCCATTCCCTCATGGTGTCCGCCCAGCCCGGGCACTTACCTTCTTGCCGCCCAGGGCCTCGAAGTGGCTCCGCAGCTCCTCCACGGTGAAAGGGAAGTGCTCAATCTGCTGAGGGCCACCTAGGATCTCCTCCTTGAACACATCTGCCCTCCTGCTGTCTGCTGGCACTTTCTGCACAGTGCTGCTGTAGCTGATCTTTTCCGGCACCAGGGACCGTGAGGCTGGTGAGCACCGGAGCATCGGGCCAGGTCTCGTAGCATTGGCGGACTCCCATCTCTGCTTGAGGAGCTCCACAGAACCCTTCTGCAGGGGCAAGTCTGCCAGCTCCAGCATGCCCTGCCAATGCAACATGTACCTGGGGTCAGAGAGAAGCGGCACTGTGCTGGCAGAGGCCATTGCAAGGCACCTTCAGGGCCCTTGCAGGTCGCAGGACAGGCCAGGGTACAGGCTGGTGCCTGGGACAGAAACCACTTCCCAATGGAAAGTGAGATCCAGTAAGACCAGATCCAGTAAGAATCAGTTAAAGGGTTCAGTGTGTTCATACAGCAGGCATATGTTAATTAAAGAGTGAATTAAGGATGGTGTTCAGATATTTTATTCTTAAGCTTGCCAGCAGAATTGCTGTCTGTCATGAATGGAAAAGCAGCAAGCACACAATTAGGGAGAATTTCAAACAAAGTGGGGCTAATGAATGAGCGCCTGGTAATCAGTGTGTGCTGTACTGAAAGGTGTTGTGACAGGTGAATGCTGATTTCTTTTAGATTTGATACAGCTGTCAGCATTGTAGAATAAGACACAGCATTTTAATGCAGCCAGCAGACAGAAAGGCTACTGTATTAGCTGTGAGAGTATTTGGATAGTCTGGAAACACATCCCAGTACAGTGCTCCTAATTGCACCGTAACTCTTCTGGCAGGTAAATTACTAAGTGTTGATATCAAATCTTTCTGATCAGTTGACTGTTTTCTCACAAAGGCTTATTCCATCTTTCTTACATTACAATTGGGAAGGAAAATTGCCATTCTATCATTTTGCACCAGTTGCTGAAATCTGCTACCCGTTTCCTGAAATCAGCTTCTCAAGAGGTTTGATTTGAAGGTTTTTCTGCCCTGTAGCACATTTAAATTTTCATCTCTCATTCAAAATGAGTTTGAGTAGAAAGAACATGCATTTAAAACAGTAAAGAAAAATAAATAACAGGAACTGAGACAGCTACTAGCTAAAATCTCAATTCATTAGCTCCTCCTTTCTTGGCAAGAGAGTGTTTTATGTGCTTAACTGTCCTTTAATATGCTTATATTTGATTGAGCTTAAATCTGCAACTTTGGGAGTTCGGCTTGTGGGTTTTTTGAGTCAATTTTTTACCAGATTTAGTGTAGTCTGTAATATTTTGCTTAGGAGGAGGAAAAAACAGGAGAAGCACTGGGTATTTGATGCACTTCAAGAATATTTTTAAAAGGAAACTTTAGGTCTACCTTCCTTGAACAAAACAGGAAATAGTTTCTTGGCTCACAGCTTTGACTTTCTTTCCAGACAGAAATTGGCCCAAGACTTGTATCTCCTTTAGCTTTTCGGCAGTACTAGGTTGTACTATGGCTAATGTCCTGCCACTTCCCCTTGACTGATGCAAGCTGTCTCCCCTGCTCTCCCCTTCCTGCAAGCAAGAGAGTAACACCCTTCCTTCCCCTACAACATGTACTTGCTGTTCTAAGCTGTCTGATTCCTTAAAAGATCCTAAATGGGTGCTGTGGATTAACCCCAACCAGCAACCAAGTACCATGCAGCCACTCATTCCCTCCTCCCCCTCACCCTGGTGGGATAGGGAGGAGAATCAGAAAAAGGTAAGACCCATGGGTTGAGATAGGAACAGTTTAATAATTGAAATAAAGTAAAATATAATAATTGTAATGAAAAGGGAGATAACAAAGAGAGAGAGGAGTAAAACCCAAGAAAACCAAGTGATGCATACTACAGTTGTTCCCCCACCTGCTGACAGATCCCTAGCCCATCCGCCAGCAGTGACTGGCCCCCTCCTGGCCAACTCCCCTCAGTTTATATTCTGGGCATGATGTTCTATGGTATGGAATATTCCTTTGGCTAGGTCAGTTCACCTGTCCTGGCTGTGCCCCATCCCAACTTCTTGTGCACCTCCTTGTTGGCAAAGCATGGGAAAGAAATTCTTGACTTAGGGTAAGCAATATTCAGCAACAGCTAAAACATCAGTTTGTTATCAACATTATTCTCATCCTAAATCCAAAAAACATAGCACTCTACTAGCTACTAGGAAGAAAATTAATTCTATCCCAGCTGAAACCAGGACAATGGGTCAGACTTTTAACTCAAAATGAAGAACAGCTGTTAAATTCACCAGTTGCGAGAATGTTCAACCTGACTCATAGCTGTATGTTAGAAGTAGTCCTGATTTACGCTGCATCTAAGGATTTATTTTAGACTGTGAAGCAGGCTTTCCCTAAGTCAGGTGAGTGTGTTTATGCAATATTCATATTCTCCTATGTTTTGCTTCATTGGTAGTGGGTCCTTTTGTTGGTTTCAGTGGTTTTCTGGGTAGGTGTTATGCCGTCATTCAAAAACGGTCTGGAGTTCACCTCCTCCTCCCTCGCAGCTCTCAAAACAGATTTAACTAAGAATGGTAGCTTCTTTTACCCTCGTCTAGTGTGAGACCTATGACTGCTAGATGACAGGTAAAACAAACATATTTGCTTTGTTCGCATGAATGAATTGACTCGTATGAGATGAAATTGTGTGGAGATTCAATGGTTTATAAAGTTGGTCATTTGCTGCACTTTGGCTGCCCCCCCGAAAGATTTCATTGTAAAATCTGCTTTTGTGTCAGGAATAAATTTGAATGTAGGCCTAAACCTGACTTTAAGCCACTTCCTAAAGTTGTATTTTAATGAAAGTCTCTCTCTGAAACTTGGGGGGGAAAAAAAACCAAAAACCAAACCAACAAAACACCCCAAAACCAGAATCTGGTGTGTCCTAGAGGTCATTTCAAATTTTCACATTTTATTACTGCTATCTCTAAAACTGGTCTCTGATCTTCTAAT